TATATGTATATTTTATTTTAAATCTCTTCGCGATTCATACTTCGTTTGACCTTTTAAGACCTAAGAATTAATTTATTTCACATAAATCTATTTAAAAAACACTTTTATAAATAAAAAATGGATATTATAGATTTATCATGGAATATAAATAAAAGTAAACGCCATAATAATGAGTTATTACCTGAAGTATAAGAGGAATTATTGTTGGAAAATCAGGTTGTGGAAAGACAACATTATTATTAAACTTGCTCTTAAGACCTGGTTGGCTAGACTATAATAATTTACAAGTTTTTGGAAAGTCACTTTTTCAACCTGAATACAAAATATTAAAAAATTCTTTTGAAAATAAATTACCAAAAGAAGTTATTCTTGAACTATTTAAGTTGCAAGATCAAATAAATAAAAACAATGTAAATCCAGAGTTTATTATTAAAAATATTTCAAGAGATTTAAAAGATAAAACAGATATAGAGTGTAAATTTTTTGAAATAGCAGATGATGTACCAGAACCTGAAAATCATAACTGTATTAAAAATAATTTAATGATATTTGATGATTTACAATTAACAAAGCAAAACAAGTGAAAAGTACTATAAAAGAGGAAGACATAGCAATGTTGATTGTTTCTACTTGGCAAAAAATTATTTTGAGTTGTCTAGGAGAACTATAAGAGAAAATGCAAATTTTATTTGCTTGTTTAAACAAGATTCGAAAAATGTAAATCATATTTATAATGATCATGTTTCAAATGGTATGAAATTAGATGAATTTAAAAAATTTCGTAATGAAGCTTGGTCAAAAAAGCATGGATTTGTTGTTATAGATTTGTCTTTTGATTTATTAAATGGAAAGTATAGAAGTGGATTAGATTTATTTTATTATCCAACTTCGTTGTGGAATTGATAAATATATATTTTTTAAAATATATATATTTTTTATGAAATCCTAACGATGTCTGGATCCCTTTGGGATCTAACAAAGTCCTTACAAATTATTGATGCTTTTGATCTATAGAAGATAGCGTATTAATGGTATATTCTTAAATGGAGAATTTTCTCCTAATAACAATCCTCTACCTACTGATGAATATTCATTTCCATTTCTTAAATAATACCCATCTGAATAATAACTACCATTCCATGGGTTTAAAAATACTCCTTTTCCTACTTTTCTAATTTTTAATCCACTATCATTCTTTTTCATATAAATAATATCATTCTTTTTCATATAATTAATACCTTTTCCAGCAATTTTATTAACTATAGTGCTTCCAGCAGCTGCAGCTGTTCCAGCCAATAATCCTGTTCCGATAGCTGGAACAACTTTTGACGCAATTAGACTTCCAATTATTCCTAGTAGAGGTAGAAATCCACCATTTACTTTAGCATTATGTTTAAGTTGTGCTCTACTAAGTGAAAGTGTTATACCAGTACCTTTTAGATATGCTGCTTTCATTCTGTTTCTTTGCGACTCTGTTAAAGCTATTTATGTTCACCATTTAGATCTTGATGTGTTAGTTTTATGCTAGCATTAGTATCAGATTCAATTGCTTTTTTAATTTTTTCTTTCTGACTTTCTGAAAGATTTATAAGAGTATCGTAGTATTTTGTCATTTTTCATATATATAAAATAATTTTATTTAAATGATTTTTAAATCATCCCCAGAATTATTTCTAATAGATTGCTTTCTGCAATGCTTTATACTCATCATTATCTATATAGCCCTGTCTTAACAGCTCATCACAAATAGCAACAGCTTCATTTCTAACTCCAGTTTTACCAGCTTGTAAAGCAGCTAAGCGTAATATAAGCATATCAAATAGTGCATTCGGATCACTAGGAAGAATGATAACTCCTTTTCCAGACTTTCCAATCATTTCTTCCCAAATAGGTTTTATTACATTAGTGTATTTATAACTTCTAGATGATCTTGGTTTAGCTGAATTTAAATAAGATCGAATTGCATCTGTTTGATCTAAAATTTCTTTATACTTATTACGATCATCGTTAGTATATCTAACAGGATGAGATTTTACTATGATCTCCCAAAAGACCAGGTGTTCCAATGTATTTTTTACCTTCAATAGTTATATTATTACCTTCAATAGTTATTGGTTTTTTACCAATGTAAAATTTTTTATCATCTTCATTGTAATGTATACCAAATATGTCATCTGATACTTTTTTACTATTTTTAGCAGTATATAACTTTTTTTTCTGTTGCGATAGCTCCTAATGACATGTTATTTACAACTTCAGGTGGACAACTGCTTTAGTTTCAGAATCTAACAAAGCAGGATAGCTTGAAAAATTACTAGCTAATTGATCAGCTTTATTTTCTAATTTAGATAAGCCTTCTTTTATTCCAGATTGGCTATCTATTAATGGTTTGTACAAATTTTCCAAGTTAGACTGTAAAGTATTATAACCTAACTTTTTACTAATAGAATTTTGATATACACTTTTCTTTAATCTATCAAGTTCTTTTGCTATTTTTAATCTTGCTTCAATATCTGTAGCTTTTACATATGACATTTATAAGCAATTTTTTTTTTAAATCAACATATATTATGTTCAAGTAAATACATAATATATGTTTTTTATTTAATTCTTAAGAGTATTATTTATCATTCCTATACTTTGATTCTTGTTAAATTTCATATTTAGCACTTCTATAATATCATTTGTACCTTTTTCTATTCCTTTATTAAATATTGACTCTTTAGTCTGCTCATCTATATCATTTTTAGATTTGGTTCTAATTTGTTCAGTCATAGCTTGAAACTTTTCAAGTTCTGAAAGTATCATATTAAATTCTGCATCATCAGTATATTGATCTGATATAGCTTTAGAAATAAGACTACTTATTGTATTTAATTTTGGATCAGCTAGTACTTTAATCTTTTCATGCTTTTCTGCTTTCAAGTTTAATTTTTTATTAGCTTGTGACCCTATTAAGTTTACTGCTCCTATAACTAATGCAGTAACCTCACATCCAATAGCTACTGGAGCTAATACACCAGTTGCTAAACAGCCAACTCCAGCAGCTCCTAATGCCATAGTGCTTGCTAGTAATGAGTTATCAACTACTGAAATGATTCTTGATGCTCTATGATATTTCTTACTTAAGATCTCTCTTCTTTTCCTTTCACATTCTATTTTATTTTGAATTTCGCTAATCTTTTGTAATCTAAAGTTATGATCCGGTAATAGCGGTGGTGCAGATGGATTTTCTGAAAACTGGTTAAGATCTGGATGAAGTTGTTTACACTCTTCATTTTTACATTGCATTCTTTTTCTATAAAGAAAAATTTGTTTAATTCATTTTTAATAAATATTTTTTTTATTTACCAAAATCAAATATAGTAGACTCTTTAGCTTTGTTAGATTTATCTAAACTAGGATTATTTTTATCACATATAGTTTCTTTAATTAATTCTCCTATACTTGTTAATATAGATTTTACAGATTCTTTATCACTTTGAGATCTAGCTTGTTCTAATTTTTCATCAGACTCTAAAGTAACCCTATGTGATATATAATTTGCCTTAAAAACACCATTATAAGTTGAGATACAGCATAACAAATCTCCTTTTTTAATATTTATATCTTTTTTATCGTTATTATATAAAGTTATTTTAATATCATCAGTAGACTCTATTACAACAGAATTTAGTAAATTTAGTGTTGGCTTATAATTTTCTGCAAGTGAAATCAATACATGTCCTTTATCTATTTTAACTCCACACATTAAAGAAATGTTATTATATAAATTAGATTTTACAGTAAAAACTTCTTGTGCGAATACTTTAATATGTCTATCATTTATTGCTCTATGTTCTGAATCTAAATTAATATTAAAAGTTATTGTATATTTTTCATGCTTTTCATAATCTAAAAACATTCTTCTCTTATTCGCATATAGCATTTTTTATAAATGTAAAGATTTTTTTTAAGTCATAAATATTATACTTAAAAGTATAATATTTTTTTATTTTAAAGTTCTTACAATATAATTTACAATCTTTTCATTATCATGTAAATAATAACACTTTTTATTATCATTAATATTTTTATATAAAGTTATTTTTTCACCTTTTTTATTTATCATTAATTTCTTTTCTGTTTATTTACAATTCTCTACGTTTTCTTTAATTTCTTTTTTAGAATGAGCATATTTACATTTATCTTGTAAAGGGCATTCTTTTTTATCAAGTATATATTTGCATAATTTAGTTTTACGTTTTCTTAGTTTTAATAATTCCGACTTTTTAGGATGAAACATAAAACAATCTTTATTTTTGCATTTTGGATATTCAGAACAAATATTAATATGTTTATATTGACATGAAGCTTTAGTGCATATTAATCTTTCTTTTACAGTATAGCATAAAGGAATATCATGGTTGTATTTACATTTCTCTCCAAAAGAACAGAAATTATCTTTTAAAATATTTTTACAAAAAATAGGTAATTTTTCTACAAAATGAATTGTAGAAGGTTTTCTATCTTCTGTAAAATTAATTTCAACATTAAATGGTTTTTCAAAACTTAATTTTCTGTTTTTGTTATGTTTTTTAAAAGAAGTTTTATCTATAGCAGGATAATCATTATTAATAATATCATTATAAGTTGGAACATAATTAATCCATTTCAGTTTATCTTTATACAATTCCATAATTTGTACTGTTTTTGAAGGAATTAGAACTATACATTTTTCTTGAATTTTTTCCTCATCATCAGATACAAAACAGGTATCATCTTCAGAGTTAGAATCTAATTCTTCAAATTCAAAGTTCTTTATTTCTTCAAAAAGTTTAAATTCTCTTTGAAATTCTAATATATCATTAATATCATCACAATTTTGATTTTCTTCAAATATTTTCATCATCTTATTCATTATATTTTTTAAAAATATTTTATTAAAATATTAAAATTCAAAAAAATATAAAATGAGTTAAATAATTTTCTTGCGTATATAAAAATGAATGGAAAACGAAATGCTAAACGATTCATATAAAAAATTAGGTTCTGAAGGAACCCAGGCTTCGCTAGAAGAATTATTAAGATTAATAGAAGAAAGATTAAGATTAATAGAAGAAAAATTAGATGTTATTGATACTAAAGTCACCTTAAAAGAAAAAAATTACTATGGGAAAAGTTTCCATTTTTTAACTTCGCAGGACCTGGTACTAATTTAAATTCAAGATTGACTTCTGAAATTAATAAAATTATTGGAAATACTAATGATTCTAATGATATTGAAATGACTGAAGATACTGAAGATGAAGATGATGAAATTACTGAAATTACTGAAATTACTGAAGTTACTGAAACTACTGAAGTTACTGAAGATAATGAAGATAATGAAGTTGTATATGATCTTGAAGGTATACAGATTTAACTATCTTTTTATTATTTTATTTTTTTTTCAAAATAAAATAATTTTTGAAAATGAGTTGAATAATTTTCTTTTATATATAAAAATTACAGAATCTAATATATTAAATTTTACAGAAAACCCAAATATATATGAAGGAATTGAAAAATATGAATTCCATGAATTTACATCAAATATTAATTCTAATTTAAATTCAGGAGAAATAAGAATTTATGTTTACGATCAAGATATATTTACACTTCCATCTGAAGCTTTTCTCTTGTTTGAAGGAAGACTTGTAAAAGCAGATGGAAGTGCATATGCAAATACAGATGCAATAACACTAACACACAATGGAATTATGCATTTATTTAGTCAAATAAGATACGAATTATCATACGAAGAAGTAGAATCAGTTGATTTTTCAGGTCAAGCAACTACAGTGTTAAGAATGCTCAAATACACAAATGACTTTCAATTAGTACAAGAATTAAATCAATTGTAGTATAAAGATACTACATCAACAGCAGATTTAGTTAATAATGCAGGATTTTCAGCAAGACAGCAATATATAATTCAAATGCCAACTGAAAAAGGTTCATTTGAATTTAGTATTCCATTAAAGCACATTTTTGGATTCTGTAATGATAAAAACAAAGTTATTTATGGAATTAAACAAAAACTAACTCTTGTTAGAAAAAGTGATGATAATGCAATTTTTAGAGCTGCTGGTGTAGCTGCAGGAAAAGTAAATCTTGATAAAATATCATTGTTTTTACCGATAAAATATAATTGTTTTTATCTCCAACAATGTATGAATATTTTAAGTTTTTTAAAATAATTGAAAATAAATTTACACTTCAATTACCTTTTCTTTCACGACAGTGTGGTACTAAATTTGTTCCACAAAATACATCATTTGACTGGAGATTAGGAATAAGAACTACTAAAAAACCTAGATATATACTTGTTGGTTTTCAAACAAATAGAGAAGGAAATCAAGAACAAAATGCTTCATTGTTTGATCATTGTGATTTAAAAAACATGTGGATAGAACTTAATGAAGAAAGATATCCTGCTTCTGATTATAATTTATCGTTCTTAAATCAACAATTTTCAAGTGCTGAATATAAAGATTTATACCCACTTATGTTTTTTGATGTGAGTGAGCAATCAGAAAAAATAAAATCATCAAAAAAAGTAAATATTATACTTAAAGCAGAATTTAACACACCTGTTCCAGCAGGTACTAAAGCATTTGCTGTTGTAATATCAGATAGAATAGCAAAACTTACTTATAATGTATTTGGATTAAGATTTGAATATTAGATACCGAAGGTATCCAGACTTTGTTAGATCGCTACACAAATTATAAAAAATAAGTATAAAAAAAGTCACGTGACCAGTGACGTCACGGCAAATGCAAATCTGTGATAGCAAAGAAAAATAAATTGACTACAGATTTTTTTAAAATTGATTTTTTTAAATTTATATAAATTTAAAAAAATTTCTTAGTTGTTATATTTATACACAATATCCTTGAAAATAAACACTATATTTAATTAAATATATGGTTGAAAATTTGGGTGAAAATAAAAATGAGCCAGAACCGGCATATTTATAGTAGTCTAATTGAACTTAGAATTTGATTAAAAGTCATCTTACGAATAGAAAGCAATATGTAATATATAATCTGAAGTATTAAATTTTTTATGTGGAGTCCCACAAGGTTCTATCCTTGGTCCACTCCTGTTTTTAATTTATATAAATGATTTTAACAATGCGTCTTTATAACTAAATTCAGTCATGTTTGTTTATGATACAAATCTATTTCTTACAAACAATTATGTCAAGAAATTATATGCAGACATGAATATTGAACTAAATAAAGTAAATAACTGGTTTTGGGCAATAAACTCCTAACTCAGAGAAAACAAACAATACATTATTCCATAAAAAACAACAAGAAGAAAACCTTCCTCCTAAGTTGCCTGACCTTATCTTAAATGAAAAATTAATTAAAAAACAAGCCAGTATAGGATTCTTAGAAATTTTCATTGGTGAGAACTTATCCTGGTTTCTTTAAATAAGATATTTAATCTAAGATCACCAATATATTTGGTATGATGTATTAATTTCGTTCGTATATCAATAAAAAAGTCTCAACTTAATATTTTTGGACTAATTCATTGCTTCATTAGCTATACAAATATATCATGGGGAAGTACGCAACCATCAAAACCTAAAAAAAATTAAAGCTTACAAAAACATGCGTGCAGATTGATTTACTTTAAAAATAAGCGTAAACACGCGAAACACATAAACACGTTAAACACGCAAACACGCTAAACCTTTAATGAATGATATGAAAATGATGGATATTTTTGAAATAAATATCTATCAGCATTTAATTTTTATCGATTCAACAATAATCTCTCTTCTGAAAACCTTACCAAAAAGTTTGAATTAAATAGAAATGAAAACTAATATCTAAGAGCCAATATAAGTAACACATATAAACTGCTTTAAAACTTTTTTCAATATACTAAATATAGAATTGCATATCAATGACCAAATATATTAAATATTTATCAAAAAGGATTCAAATGTATAGCAGAGTCATTAAAATGAGATTTGTTTGTGCTTGACTCTAAAGTTTTATGATTTTTTTTTCAGTTTTTTAATATTTATTTCGACATATTGATCAGCTCAGCAGTAATAAGCTCATTAGGGTATTTAAATTAATATCTATATATAGTATAGAAAATATATATAGAGAGGCTCTATGAAAAGATTGCGATGGCGTGTTGTCATCTTAATCTTCCTTAAGCCCCCTGTCTGTTTAATTATTTATTTTATAAAAATTACTGTAAAAAAGAAAAGTTTATATTTTATATTTTAAATACAAGAACGGTGCTTATTGACGAGATTTTAATGTCTTCTTCCTTCTACGGACATATTTTTTCTTTCATGTCTATATCTATATCTATATCTATATCTATATCTATATCTATATCTATATCTATATCTATATCTATATCTATATCTATATCTATATCTATATCTATATCTATATATATATATATATATATATATATATATATATATATATATATATATATATATATATATATATATATATATATATATATATATATATATATATCATTATCAGAGTCCTAACCAGGGTCGTCCCGAAGAGATCTTAAAAGAGCAGGGGGGAGGGTAAAGATCTGTTTTTTGCCGACTGAGGTCTAAAAAATTTTTTGTCGATTTAGATTATTAAAAAAAACATACAACACATACGCCAAGCACGTAATTATAAAATAGACGAATATTTTGATTACAAAATCGTTGCCGTAAATCGACTGATACGCACGTTTCTAAAAAATGGCACTAACATTAACTCAACCCTGACTCTAAAAAACTAAAAACAAAAATACAAAATAAAAAATAGAGTAAAATGTCTCGAAATCATGCGCGGCAAAAAAATCTTTATAACAATAATTTTTATAATATTAATCGTGAATATATAACAGATTAGAATGGTTTGCTTTGCTATAACACCACACAGTGATTTAGAAACACTTAAAATTTGGCCAAAATACAGTTTTTTGAGTAGCGCAATTTAAATAATGTTAATAACTAAATATTTTCTACAGTTTCTTCTGATTCTAACGGTACAAAAAAAATAAGTACTGAAATAATAGATTTAGGCATTAGTTTATGTTTGAAAGTACCGAAAACAACTTTTTTTATCATTAGAAGTTTATCATTATCTAAACTTAATTTTCTTCCTAAATACGAAACCTTTCTTTCATAAATTTTCATTATATACAAAGATATTAGCTAATTTTATTTTAATTTAATAAAATATTTGAAATATGTATTTATACATCTTATAAAAAATGCATTTAAAAAATGCATTTCGATCTACTAACTTCATTCTATCTTTTCAATCTCAATCTAAAAAATGTATTTTTTCACTTAATAATATACTTTTTTATTTTAATTTTTACTTTATTTTCTAGTATGTTATACTTGTCTTTATTTTGCTTGCTAGTATTTTATAAAGTTCCGACGACAAGATCTTGTGATCTTCTTTTAGATCCTAGCTTATGTTTAATTGTTATAGCAGTTTATGTATGTGCGCATCTGTACATTTGTAAGTGTATATATGCTTATATTTATGTATGTATATATTTATATATATATATATATATATATATATATATATATATATATATATATATATATATTATATATATATATATATATATATATATATATATATATATATATATATATATATATATATATATATATATATATATATATATATATATATATATATATATATATATATATATATATATATATATATACTTTTTGAAAGATTTAAATTCTTCTTTACTTGTCTACCTTTTTTACATCATAGAGCGAATTTTCAGTAATTTTGAATAAACATTTTCAAGAAAATTAATTTTGATCATTGTGCGTCAAAGCTGGTCCGGTTTGATTATGGTCCGGTGTAGCACGGTATTCAACATGTGTTTACTTTTAGGTTTTAACTAAATGTGATAAATGAATAAAATTGCACTAAATGTGAAATTTTTTTTTTTTTTTTTACACAATTCTGTACCATCTCTATAGTTTCTCTAAACACTACCTAGTTACACCCCAACATAGAATTATAGTTAGTTAGAGTAAAACAGCCACAGTATTTTATTTAAAAACTTTGTAAAACTGCGAAAATATTAATTGAAAATGTTATCTTGTATGTTAAAATGTGAAAATGTAATTTAATTATTTTCAATTGATGACAGAAATAACTCATTTTGTCAAAAAAAAGAAAAAAAAAAAGAAAAGAAAATTGATACATAGAATTTTGATACCTATAATTTGAGTTATGTTATAGGTGTCTACATATAAGAATGGAAGAAAAGAGCTCTAAGTGCTTATTTTGCCAAAAACCATCAAAATATACATGCCCTCGATGTTTTGTTCAGTACTGCTCCACTATTTGTTATAAAAGTGAGCAACATCTGGAATGTTCTGAAAATTTTTACAAAGAAGAGGTTTGTTTTGTTTTAATATTTAATTAAATTTTCAATATATTTTTTTTCTACCAATAAAAATAATATTGAAAAAATGTTTTGGACTTTTTGACTGATTAACCCAATCAATCAAGTTTAGTTTTATGAAGTTATTTATTACAAATAAATTTTTTGTTTTTATAGACCAAGCATTTAAATTTTTTTTTCAAAAAATAAATTACATTTTCAAACATTTTAAATTATGAAAAATTAGTTCTAATTGTTTTTTCTTAAATTAAATAAAATTATAAAAATGATGTTTATTATAATATTTAATTCATAATATAATTCAGCTTATGTTTTATATATTAACTTTATATTGTTGATTATAATATTCATTTCTATTTAGGTAATACTATACCACTTAAAATTATATTTAAATAACCCTATATAACTAACATTATATTAATGAGAGTTTTTGATTGTTATGTTTTCTTTTTTTTTTTTTTTTTGAGGGAAGCAGAGGGAGGGAGAAAGTAGATTTCTATAAAATTCTGGTATAAAACCCTTCATTGTGAGTAAGGAATAAATAAAGTTATTAAATCATGGAGGGAAATCCTCCTAGTGGCAATATCACAATAAAAAATGTGCAGTCTTCAAAACATATTAATGGTAAGAAAAGCACCTAGTTGGTATCAGCAGATTTTTCCATTAAGTTGCTTCAAGCTGAAATAGGTTATTTGTAAAATAATATAATATATTTGTAAAAAAATACAGAGTTGTTTTAATAATAAAAAAAAGAAACTCAGACTCAAAAATAAAAAAATGTTAAATAATTAACTAGTAGCTATCTTGTTTGAAAAATCAACATAAATAAACCGTTTTAAAGATGCCATTTTTTGTAGAATTGTAGAAGTAAATAGAAATAAAACTAAAACTTTTCAGCAGAGGTTTATTGTTTTCTCATTAAGTTGAAGTTTTTAAGCTGAAAAATTAATGTTTTTCTTTCTAACTTAGAAACAAAAATACCTAAATCCAAATAAGTTACAGCATTTCAAACATGTTTTTTTTAAAATATAAAATGTTTTATTTACATTTTAAGTTCATCTAACTCTATGGCTTTTATGTAAACCCTTTTTTACATGACCCAAACATATCTAAAGAGTTATAATAATTAAAAAATGAATTATTTACAATTCATTATATTTGAAATTATGTGTTTTACACCAACACTAATCTTAAAAATTCATTATTTATATCTCACCCTATTTTATGTTTCATATATATGTAAAAAATAAAAATTAAAATTAGTTAGAATTGAGAAGACTTGCAACTTTTATATTTTTCATGTTATGGTCTAAGGCACTCCTGCTTGAAGAAGATAGTTTTGCAAATAAACAAAGTTAAAAATTGCTGGTGTCTAGCATCCAGTTCTAAAAAGTTTATTAAAATTGCTATAATATCATATTTAAATAAGAAAATGACATTTTGTAAACCCATATAAACCATATGAGTAAGGAAACATGGATATTAGGCTTAAAATTAAAATTTTTTTTTTTAAACTATGGAGATTTTCCATAGCTCCTCGTTGTAGTTAAGGTGATTTTAAAATATTATAGCGTCTGTATAAGTTTTTTAAAGTTATAAATTTTGCCGTAACAGAAAATAAAAATGTTTGTAGCAAAAAAACCCAGATATTTTTTTAAAATCACGACTGCTGGTCCAAATATAAATGAGATTTTAAATAAATATGTTTTTTTAGGTGAAATGAACATCATAGTTTACTAATATGATCTGTTCTGTTTATTGGCAATTTTTCTTAATTATAAGCGTTTTTTTGGTCGGAATTCTAATACTTTTTGTGAAAATTGATAGAAATGTTGTGTTTTAACAATTATATTAAATTAATATATGAACCAATTAGAGCTAGGATCTATAGTAGATTAAAGCACTTTTTCAAAAATTTTCAACTAAAATTAAGTTAAAGCTTTTGAGCCGAATTGATCTAAAGACTCAAAAATAGTGTTCTTTAGATACACAATTAGGGATAATAAAAAAGTTTTGAAAACTATATAAATTTTTTTTTTCTTTAAACATAAAAAATTGAGGTAAAAAAAATTATAACATCTAAAGCTCTTGTTTGGGCATAATAGGCTGACAAAATCATGATAAAAGAATTAAAAAATCAATATTATGTTACATAAATATGTCAAATTAATAAGAAGTTTTTTTGTTTTTGATGTTTTGAAAAATTTATGGGTTAGGAAAAGGGGTTTGATTTTGTAATAAATAATTTGTACATTAGGGTGCGTCATTTTTCAACAATTTTTCCAAATTAAATCCCAACCAACTGGTGTAGTTGACAAAATAGGTTTCAGGGCCCCATTTTTGACAATTTGTGCCCTGAAACCCCTATTTAATAATATATATCAATTTAGACAAAAAAAAAAAAAATTATTTTAAGATTATTTAGAATGCATCTGTAACATCTGTAATGTACAACATAAGCAATCTTTTTTTTTTTAACAAATTAAAAAGTTTGTGCTATACTTTTACTTAAGTTAAGAGTATTTTAATTATAAACTGCCATTTATAATCCTTACTTTAAACTGCCATTTATAATCCTTACTTTAAACTGCCATTTATAATCCTTACTTTAAACTCGAAAATCAAAAGAAGATGTAAAAAAATGTAAAAATGCTACCAAAAATAGATCACTTTCGAATAGATTTTTATTTGAAGATAAAAAAGTGTTAGAATAACTTTCTGAAAAACGGTTTGCCATGAATGAGGAAATAATTCTTAATTTTTATTACAGTTATGATTAAAACATTGAATTAGTTAGTGCATTCAATATATTAACTAAGTTATTAAATTTCAGTTTAAAAAACAGAAATTATAAAATCTAAATTTAGTCTTAACAACTCCAGCATCTGTTAGACAAAAGTACTCCCACCAAAAAATTGAATGGTTGTGCTTCCCAAGATGAAATTGTGTCAGTATGCTCTGTATGAGCAGTATGTCCTTAGAACTGTATCCTTTTTGCTATAAAAAAAACCCTGGATTGGTGGAGAAGAGAACAGAGGCTTATTTTATGACAAGCGCATCAGGTTTGCTGAATAATATATAATTGTTTTTTTAATTTTAACAAATTTTAATTTTACTTATTTCAATTTGTAAACATGACTTTTTTCACTCTGCCTCTGATATGATGCAGACCTTCACATAAGAGACATGCGGTCGCACACCTTATATGACCATGCATCATATAATACTTTCTTTTGACAACTTGACTCTTTGCAAGTTTTGACAATTAGCGCTTGTGAAAATGCGCCAAAAAAAAACAAAACAAACGTAAATACGATTTTTAATTTAATTGATTCCATAATTACAATTAAACCGCTTCAAAATTTCCTGAGTACTTTATTGCAATGTGATAAATTATTGAAAGTCATTGAATCATTGTAATCATTGAAAAAAATATTCAGATTAGAGTTTTGGGCAAAATGAGTAGAGAAGGTATCAAAAAATAAATACAAACCGTTTTATCATGGAAATATAATTTCTTTAAAAAAATTATTAAAAATAAAGAATTACAATAATCTTGAAACAATCGCATCTGCCAAATATTTTTTAACTATCCTAGGGCGTGAAATATCGTTTTTTTTTAATGAATGTTGACTTTTGTAGTTTTATTTATTGAGAAATGTCTAATTTAAGAGATTTATGTCAAATAAGTGAGTTTTATTTTCAAATAATTTTTATTCTAGTTAATAAGTTATTAAATATATCAAAGATGCTTGGTAAATTTATTTAGTTTTTATTTTTCAAAAACTTTTTTTTTTAAACATTTGCAAAGTGTGCACAAATTAATGATAAATGCACAATTAAAAAAAAACTTTTTAAAGTGTTAATATGCAAACAAACATTACTTCACATTAAGGAAAATAAGAAAATTGAAAAAAAAAAGCATGCAAAATGTTATTTGTAATGAATTCATTCACTTTAAAATTTCAATGTAATTGCTAATTACATTAAAGAAACCATGCTTAAACATTATGATCGCTTTCTCTAGTAAAAGAAAGCATTCAAAATGTTTAACCACAGTTTCTTTTGAAGTTTTTGCAAAAGCATTTACTTTAAGTAAAGTTATGCATGCTTTTGTGAGCGCATGCAAAAACCATGCTAAAACATAATTACTTTCTTCTATAGCGTACTAGGTTATTTTACTTAAAAGTAACGCTATTGAAAAAAGTAATTATGTTTTGACATTTATTTTCAAAAGTCTCTGAAATTATTTTTTTTTTAATTTTAATTATGTGTTTTTTGTAATAAATAAAATCAATTGCAAAATTATTTTGAAAAAATAATTTTTTCAAAATAATTTCGATTTTTTTTTTAATTAGTTTGTTTAGCGCATTTTTTAAAGCGCTAATTATCAAAACTTGCAAAGAGCTGTGGTCAAGTTATTAAAACAAAGAACAATATGCGTGGTCATATATGGCGTACGACCACACACCTCTTATGCGAAGGCCTGTGAGGTTACATTAAAAAGTTTTAAAGCAATTAGAAAAAAAATCAATAAGTATTATGTTTTCTAGGAAGTTATTAAATGATCTAGTTGAAAAACGGGCAACTTTGAAAAAAAATAAAAATAAAAAAGACAATACAACAGAATTAGCTAGAAACATTATTAAAAAAAAGTGCTGAGAAGATTTTTTTGGATTACAAAACCTGATATTCGCTCTATTTTAAAGAAGAAAAACTGAAACAACTTAGATTCATTTAAATCAGATTAGCAATTTTTAAAAAAATCAAATGGCAAAACATAAAATGACCCATGGTTCAAAGTATTACCATATTGCTAAATATGAAAAAGATTTATAGAAAAAGATGAAAGACATTTACTGAGGGACAAAAGGATCAAACTGAGAAAACTGATCTTTTATCATCAAAACAAAGTGAGGTCCCTTTCTGCCAGGATTTTGACTATTTAGCAGACAAAATTAAATCAGGTAGTAGTGCTTTAACAACAGTACCTA